TGATAAAGAAACAACTATTATAATGTTGTAACTAATTATTTACTATGAAGAAATAATTTTGACTGGTAAATTATAATTATAACTATACAACGCTAAAAATTTAATACCCATTGAGAAAAACAATTCTTGCAACTTCATTGTAACAAGATCGAATAAGAAAGGGACATGGGAATTGCCAAATATATTTATGAATTGGAAACTCATGTTCTTTATGATCTAGCAATTCGGTGTAGAGCGATTGGTATTTGCATTTATTTCGAAATTAGTTAATTTGATTCCCTTTGTGATGATCGAATCGATCATCATAAAGGGAACCAAATCGACGTCACATTTTAAACAGCGTAGCGTAGCGTTTCCTCTCTTGATCTCGCATTCTCAATTCGGCGTTGCTCTTCTCTTACATCGCCGTCCCGATCTCTCTGATTAAATTACGGAAACAATATTCGCTCCCTGATTTCGTGATTCGCGACTTCTACAAAAACAAAATCCATTACCTTGATGAAAAACAAAGAACAGCGACATCGTGCGACTCGCTTAAGCCGCCCGTGCATGAATTTCGCAACCCGTGTGTTTGTTACAGAAAGAAAACGTGGCCGTTTCATTAAAGATTACATGCGATTAAGAACTCGTTCTCACCGCGGAAAAATGCGGTCCCTCATACGCGTTCACAGTCGTACGATACGTCTTGTAATTCCGCTTCTTCATTCCGACACGTTAATAAGAACTAATTTGCACTTGCAGCAACGCGCCGATTAATCTCAAACGCAGTTTTTAAAATGCATTACCTTTACACTGAGATATAAAATTGTTAATAAAAGAAATAGAAGTACTGAATAATTTAGTTTGAATTATTATATACTGTATACATATGTACATGCATGTATATCATATTTGTAGTCATTCGAATTGCGCGCCGAATTGGTTTTTCGATTTATAAAATTATAAATACAATTAATATTAAATTATAAATACAATTAAACTATAGCAATATCACTAATTAAATTAACAAGCAATTTTAATAATTTGATACTTAATCAAAAAGTTGTTAACTTGACTAAATGTGTTTAGTGATTATTCCGTTCAAGTATATTTTATACATTTAAATTAAATATACGTGAAAAATGTTAACATGTTATTTGTTTAACCCGAATGTGGCTGAATCATAATAACCCGAGACATTTTTAAACATCTGTATTTTCTTACATACTTCTTAGATTTTATCTAACCGCCCTGTAGCTGGAACTAAGACTTTCTAAAATCCTTGTTGACATTGCGAAAATAGATAAAAAAAATATTCGGATTATCATGATCCACTTCAATGTCCGTGTAACATTTTAGGAAGTCTTAGCAATGACATCGGGTTAAATTAACATACATTTATTTAAATTATTGATCGTGATACTGCTATATTAGTTGGATAATTAATTTATTTTTTAAACAGCAACTTTTTTTCTTAATGCGGATGTTTGTGCAGATATTAATGTATGGTTGATAATGATGACAAAAAACGTGGAAGTTTCTAATTACTTGATACGCAGATAATTGGAATCAAGCAGCATGTGTATTTTCCTAGATCAGAGAATATATCTACTTGATTCTCTATCGAGAATTAAAATGTACCTTTTCTTTGCTTGGATATTAACTGTAATCAATCACGAGCGTATATATAATAATTTTCTTCCTTTCTTATATTTCATAATTTAATTTTATAATTTTTTTCCTTTCTTATATTTCAAAAATATATTACCGAAGGGGTGCGTGCGTGCGTGCGTGCGTGCGTGTGTGTGTGTGTGTGTGTGTGTGTGTGTGTGTTATACAAAATCGTAGTAACATGCATTAAAGCAATCAGATACTATAAGAGTTTGTATAATCACATCTGACGATGTAGAATGATTTTCTTGCAACTAATGCTCTCACTTTCTTTGCGAGTATAATATTAACGAATTCCTTGATTATGGATTGCTCTTATGTTGTATAATAAGTGATCACTACTGTAAAAAATGTCACCATTAGACTCATTTGTCGTAAAATACTTTGATTCACAAAACGTCTCGGAACGATTGCTTTGCGCGATCGATGATCTAACGTTAGTATCAATTTTCTGGATAATTATGTGTATTCTAAAATCGTTTGTTCAATTGAATAATTTCTTTTATCGCGAGTCAACTAGGTGCGTAACATAAAATTTGCAGACATACAGTATATGTTTCGACATACAGTATAATCATAAATCATTTTGAAAAATATGGTAATCAACGTGGAATTTCCGTGACATCGTCATCGACGCCACAACTGCATTCTTTTTATGCCACACACATGCTTGGCCGAGGATTTTCTTTTCTGTTATTCATGCCGAAGAGTTCACGTTTTATCGAACTCGCATCTCAATAAAATTCCTCAGTGTTTATTTTCAAACAATGACGAGAACTTTAATTGATATACGAAAGAAAAGAAATAACGGATTTGCGATTTAAAGTTCTGTGTACGACTTGTGATGCAATTCGAATCGTGGTGCTTTCTTAAGATTGTCATTTGCTTGACGAGTC